CGGCACCAATGCCATCGTAGCTGTCATCTCCTACAGCGGCTATGACATGGAAGATGCAATGGTAAGCTACCAAAAGGAAAAATCCTGCTGTTCTGTGGAAGAATTTGATGGAGAGGGGAGACTGGGAAGAAGGATGGGTAACCTAGCTGAGAAGACCTTGGTTTCTGTTTGTGGTAGCCCTCACACTTTTTGGGCAGATTCAGGAGCACGCTGGTTAAATGTTGTTACAGCAGGTAATGCTGGAGGTACTGGGATTAGAGCAGAGCTCCCTTGTGCAATGCAGTGGGCTTCCACCATTGAAAAATACTGGGGTTACAGGAGGCTTAAGCCTTTTGGAATGGTGACTTGCTTTGTTTAGGAAGGCAGTGTTCCATAATGATCTGATGCTTACCTTGTAAATGCTTTCTTTTTTGAAGTTACTAGCAAGTCTTTAACAAGCCTTTGTTTCTTCTCTTTAGATTGTGAATAAATCTTCCTGGCAGAGAGGGTTTGCTTTTGGAAGTGTTATCAAGATGGAGAGCATTGACCTTTCCCTTAAAGCCAGCAGGGCAGGTGATAATTTAGTGTTTGGCATCAGGCCTGGTGATCCAAACGTCATGGAGAAGCTGGATGCTGATGGACTGCCTTTTGTTGGGTCTATTCTACAGCCTGGAGACCCATTCTACAGCTTCATGAACCTCAACACAGGGGAGACCTTTACAGTGTACTATCCGTAAGTACTGCTTTTCTGTCCTGGCTCTGCTCACCAGGTGATGAGAGCAGTTGCCCCTTTTCCTCCAGGTGTTCCCTTTTCTCCTGGTGTCCGTGTCTTAACAGAGACCATGAAGTTCGTGCTGTAGGCGACTCCTACGCATGTATCACATCTGTTCTCTAAGCCAGTGTGTGCTGCAGAGCTGACTTGTCCCAAGAGGAGTATCTGAGGCGGATGAAAGGAAAGCGCTTGCAGAAGTGTTTTGCTGTGTCCCAAGGATTTCCCCTCTGCCCACGCCACCTACTTGCTTTCTGTAGCTTTTTGTCAATTGTATAAGATGTTCTGTCTAAAAAAAACCCCCAAAGGAACACCAAACAAAAAAACCAAAACGAAGTGCCTGATCCCAGAGGCTTGCCAGAAAACCTTGCAAGAAAGTTGTTTCAGGATTAGGAGTACAAAGAGCATTTTTATTAACATTTCAGATTCTGCAGAATATTAAAATACGTCATCTACGCCCCTCCCTACCCCTGGAATATTTTGGGGATAAATTTTGTAAGGTTTTTGAACTTCAGTTGAAAGAAGGATGCTGGGGCTTTCATTAAAATCCCTTTAATTCTTTCTGGAAAGCAAAAACATTGACAAAACCTAATGTTTTTAAGTGCATCCTGCACTCTCAATTGTCTGTACAACTTCAGGTTGTCCATGTGTCCCTCTACAGCACTGACAGAGTGGGGATAGTCCTGTGTAATTACTCACATTGTGAAGGCAAATTAGTTTGAGAAGCACTTGCGTGACAGAGTAACTGGCATTACTGGGAAGGCCATTGTTTATTACTTTGTAACAGATGCTGCCCTGGCTGCACTGGGGAGTCTGCTGTGGACTCGCAGAATTAGTCAATCTGGTTGTAGAGCAGGACTAGGAGACTCGGCACATTATCATGTGGAGGTGTGTAAGCTTAGCCTTGTCTTCTGGTTCTCCTACCCCACAGTGCAGCTCCCCAGCACTCTCATACTAGCCTGGCCTTAGTTCAGATTCCTTATCCAGAGAGCCATTTTACCTCTGTAACATTCAGCTTTTGTTCGTTCTCAGTCCTGATGAGGTAATTATTCAGGTTTCTACAGAGAGATGAGGCTTCCAGTTTTCAAGTCTTGGCTCCTGCTCCAAATTTGCCCCAATGGCTTAGAGCCCTTAAGGGGGAGTTCCCTTTACTGTCCTAAGTGCCTCTTATGCTGCTAGACCATAGGTGTGGGCTTGGGAGGACAGAACCTTTGACTTCAAAAGTTTGAACAAGCTTGGAAGAGGCTAATTGTGCTGATTTTTCCTGGGGTAGAGTTAATTTTCTTCACAGTGGCTAGTGTAGGGATGTGTTTTGGAAACTTGCAGCACAGTTTTCTCTCTCTTTTTTTTTTTTTTTTTTTGATGGCCTGTCCTGGTTGCATGTGGACAACAAAATAATAGCTTTGATACAGGAATTAAACTTAGGTACAGGCCTTCCACAAACACTGTGTTCATTAGGACTTCAGAGGAGAAAATTAGCCTTGTCTTATATTGGGACAAAATGTATTTTTTAGCTGTTGTCTCCAAAATAAGTGGAGAGTTTGGGCTGAAAGCTCTATAACAACAATTAAGCCTGCAGCAGACACCTAGCACGTGGAATATCAGGTTGAGGCCTCATCTGGAGAAGGAACACACCCCTGAACAAGGCACTTACTAGCAAAGCTCACACTTTGCCTTCCCTTTCTGATCTGAACTTTTGTCTCTGCTAAAGAACTGAACCCAGTTCTTTATTTTGGTATCCCATCAATATGGTGTTGGTTTATTGGGAGTAGGGAGAGGGACTGGTGCCTTAACACAAAGGAAATTACACTGGTTTCTCAGATACAAAGTGTGATACAGATGAACCAGATTTAAATGATCTTTATTTCAAATCATGGGTGGCATGCTGACCTGAAAGTTGTAGCTGAATGGGATTTGTGAGATGCCCAAATTCTTACATGGTCTGATTACCTTTGCCACTGAATAATACTTTGAAGAATGCTTGTGTTTCCCAGCTATCCCAAGGCATTTTATAAGAACTATGAAGTGGTTTTGGTTTTTTGCTCTATTTTCCTTTCCTAGCTAAAAATCCTTGACATGCCTGACACTTGCTGTGATTGTTTTTCCACCTACACAGGAATAAGGAAGTTGGCATTGTAGACAACGTCAGATTATGCAGTAATGACCGTGGCACGGGAAAATTCAAGAAGGCTTGCATCACTGTGAGGGTTCCCCGAAATCCAACTGTTGGAGACAAATTTGCCAGCCGCCACGGACAGAAAGGTATCCTGAGCCAGCTCTGGCCAGTTGAGGATATGCCATTTACAGAGAATGGGATGGTTCCAGACATCCTCTTCAACCCTCATGGCTTTCCCTCCCGTATGACCATTGGAATGTTGATTGAGAGCATGGCGGGGAAGTCGGCAGCACTGCATGGTGTCTCCTATGATGCCACTCCCTTCACCTTCACAGAGAAGAAGTCTGCCTTGAAATACTTCGGTGAGACTTTAGTGAGCGCAGGTTATAACTTCTTTGGGACAGAAAAGATGTACAGCGGCATCAGTGGCCTGGAGCTGGAGGCAGAGATCTTTGTGGGAGTGGTGTACTATCAGCGCCTGCGCCACATGGTCTCGGACAAATTCCAGGTGAGAACAACGGGACCCCGAGATGCTGTCACCAACCAGCCCGTCAAGGGGAGGAACGTGGAAGGTGGGATTCGCTTTGGTGAGATGGAGCGGGATGCTCTGCTGGCTCATGGCACATCTTTCCTGCTGCAAGACCGTCTGTTCAACTGCTCTGATGGCTCCATAGCCTACGTGTGCACAAGCTGTGGCAGCATGACATCTCCTGTGCTGGAGAAACTGCCCAACTCCTCTCTGGCGAGCAGCAGGAGGTACTCCTGTTCAGTCTGCAGTGAGGTGGACTCCATTGAGGTTGTCCCTGTGCCCCACGTCTTCCGTTACTTTGTGGCGGAGCTGGCAGCCATGAACATAAAAACAAAGCTCAAGGTGGAATAGCTTTGTCCTCAGCACAGCAGTGCTGCTGCTTGGAGGAGGCATGTGTCATCCTGCCCTTGCCCCTGAGAGTTTCAAGTGTTGAGTCAATTCTCAGGTTCTTCAAAGTTTTGCAAGTTTAATTTGATGTTTGTATTGAGATGGGGTGGTCGCCAAGCTGTATGGAGAGGAAACGTGGCTCTGTTGAAGTTAATTTGCATTTCCTAAAGGCTCACTAGCTACCAAAAAGTGGTGTATGGAAATCAAGCAATATTGCTGCTCCCACTAGGCTCCTGGGTTGAGAGCGGTGGGGTTCTTTGTTCTTTGAGTGCTGGCTGAAGCTGAAGAGATGAAGAGGTCATAAAACAGCATGAAGTGGATGCTGAAAATGACAAAAAAATAGATATATTTTGGGTTTTTTGAAGAAAAATCTTTCAAAAACCTATGCCTTAATGATGTCTATGTGGTAAAGTGATTGGACATGTTTTCTTTTGCTTTATTATCATACATGTGCCTTGACCCACGAGGAAGAAGGCACTAAGTTCTGCTGCATGAAGCCGCAGCCTTGACTGTAAGTAACCACGGTTGCCCTGTCAGTCGTCTCCTGGGAGTGTTTGGTGTGGCCAAGCCCAGCTTCTATCTTGGTGTAGCACCACCGTGCTGGGGTTGGGTGGTTTTCTTTTTGTTTGCTTGTCTCTGGCTGAAGAAGGAGAAAGCAGAGGCCTTTCCAACCTCACTCTGACCCTGACTCGCGCTCCTGCAGCGTGGGCACCGTGGGGTGGGAGGGAGCTCATCGTGCCCCCTCAGTGCACAGCAGCCGCTGCCTGGCTGCCAGCCAGCCCTGTCCCAGGCACCCTTCATTCTCCTCCGCCCCCCCGGCCGCCGCGGGGCAGAGCTGGTCAAAAGTTCCTTGGTACATTTCTACATCACCTGCCGTCAGCGTCGCGTTGGGGCCGGGAGAGTGCTCAGGGCCCGGCGGGGCCAGGGCGGCGCTCCCAGGGCTTGGCGGGCGGCGGCAGGCGGGAGGCGGTGGGGGTGTCCCCCGTGGGCGAGGCACGGGGGCGCCGCACACCCGGCGGCTCCCGCCCGCTCCGCACCATCCGCAGCACCTCGGCCAAGGAGGCGGCGGGCGGCGGCTCCGGGACCGGGACCCGCTCCATGGCGGGGTCGGGAAGGAGCAGCGGCGGGGCGGGGCGGGCCGTACCACCGGCGGGGGGGAGGGCGGTACTACTGCGGCGGGGGGAGCCAGCCCCGATCCCGCAGCCCTGGCGGGGGGCGGCGCAGCAGGTGCCGCCGTTGAGGGCTGAGCCCTCGGCAGCCCCACGGCCCGAGCCGCCATGGAGGTGCCCCGGGTGCTGCTGGCTGCCGCTCTGCTCCCGCTGCTGCCCCGTGAGTATCCAGCAAGTAGCCCCATCACAGCCCCGGGGGCTGACAGGCCGGATGCCATCTGGCCTGTGTGTGAAGAATGAGCACCACCGGGGTGGCAGCCGTGCTGGGTGGGATGTGTGAGGGGTGCAGTGCTCCTAAACCCTGTCTCCCCCAGTCAGCAGGGCAGCTGTGCCGCTGCCCACCATGGCCCCACCACTGAGCATGGTGGTGGCTGGGCAGCGCCGGCAGCTGGTGGTCTGTGTGGTGATCGACTTGGCTCCCAGCTCCGGCCACGCTGTCTGGATCTCCAGCGGGAATGGCAGCGTCCTACCGTCCTTTGCCTACGGGGCCTCTCAGGAGGATGGTGGTACCGTCTGCTCTGTCTCTCTCCTTTCCAACGACCCCTTGGCCGAGGGAGAACTCGCCTGCCATGTCGGGGCCAACAGGACCTCCCCATCCCACAGCTCCAGCCCCATTCGCATCACGGGTATGACCCTGCTGCCAACCCTCCTGCCTGCCTTGCCCATTGCTGCCCAACTTGGTGGGTGCCCTGGTGGCCCCCAAGGAGGGGGGTGCCAGGGTCTCTGGGAGCAGGGAGCAGGTGTGAGGCCCTGTGGGCCAACGTTGCTGCCTTGATTGGCAGGCACAGGAAGGGGTTTGTGGCCAGCCCTGCCGCACACCTGGTGCTGGGCTGCCAGCGTTTCCCCAGCTGCTCTTTCATCCCACAGGCAACGAGGAGGTGACAGAGCTGTGTCCTGGTAGCACAGCCGGTAAGTCTCCAGCCCTACCCTGGTGGGAATGTCAGTTACCAGGGAGAAAACCCTGCTGAGCTCCTGGCAGGGGCTTGACTGCAGCTGTGGGGTGGTTGCGATGGCTTTTCTCAGAGTGTCAAGGGATTTGGTGGGAAGAATGGGGAAGGTGGGTCAGAGTCAGCCTGCGCTCAGGGACAGCATGAGTGTGACATGAGGTGACTCTGGGAAATACAAGGCTCCCAAATCCCCCAGAACCTGGACCTATGGCAGGACTAGAAAGGATGTGGGGGCAGTGGCGTGTCTGTGGCAGTCGTCACCCCCACCCTTCCATTGCAGTGTTCCCGGACCATGCCTTGGCAGCTCTGCTCATGGCTGTTCGGGTGGTGCTGCTGAAGGTCGTGCTCTCAGATGCCCTCCTCACCTCCATCCTCCTTGCCCAGAGCTGAGGGCTTGGCAGATGCCCACCCTGAGGGGTAAGTCCCCTAGTTTCGGCCTAGGGGTGTGAAAGGCACCCAAAATACTCTGGAGACTGGAGACAGAACCCCCAAATGCAGGAGGGAGGGAGAGAGCCAGTGTCGTTTGGGGAGGTGCAGGGTGGGAATCTTTTACTGGGGAGACAAGAGAGAGGGGCTGCCATGTTTCTGTGGGTGGCAGGGCCCCGGAATTATCTGGAGGATGGGAAGGGTCCCCAGGGTACCCCGGAGGGAAGGTTCCCAGAATTCCAGGGCAGGGAGGGACCGGGGGGGCGGCCGTTCCGCACCGGGGCCACGTGGGCGCTCGGCGGGACCGCCCGGCGGGGCGCGCGCCGCCGGGATTGGTGGGCAGGGATTGGTCGCGAGGGCCACGCGCGCCGCCGGGATTGGCCGGCGCCGCTCGGTCGCCATGGTTACCGGGCGGGGCGCGGCGGGAGCGCGCCCCGGAAGCGGAGCCATGGCGGCGGCGGCGGGGGCAGCGCTGCTGGTGATGCTGATGGCGGCGGCGCTGGCGAGGGGCGACGACTCGGACTGGGTGCGGCTGCCCAGCAAGTGCGAGGGTAAGCGGGGCCGCGGGGAGCCGGGGGGATCGGCCGTCGCCCGCTGTCTGCTCGGGCCGGGGGTGCGGGGCTGCGCCACTGCGGGCTGCCCCTCTGCCCGCCTCCTGCCCGCGGGCACCGCTGTCCCCGGTTCGTAGCTGGGTCTGCTCGTCTCTGCTGCTTACAGTTCGTCTCCGCGATGCTTCCTTCCTTAGCAGTTCCTTGGTTCACAGGCAGTCCGGGGCAGGTTTTGACGGACATTTGCTGTTTGCTGCGGCTTCCTCTGCCTTTGCTGTGTAGGGACATGTGGAGCTGGACAGCAAAGAGAAAACAAAGAAATATGGACCTCTTTACAAACCTTTCCCTTCCGGGGAAGCAGCTCTGGAGACACTGATGTCCGAGCTCTGCTGTGACATCTCCATCTTCAGAGAAGCATCAGAGCGAGCACTGACCACACTCTGCTCCTCTTCCTGCCCAGGCTTGGAACCTGTGTCAGCGTGCAGCAATAGCTGTGGGCAGCACCTGGATAACTGGACCCAGCAGTGAGCACGCCTGGCATGTGTGGGGACAATGCAGCAGGTATGGTGTGGAAAGGGACATCTTCAAGGCCTGAGTCCAGAGGGGCTGCAGGAAGGAATGCTCATCTCACCTGAGAAATGGCCACAGACACCTCTGGCCCCTGGTGCCAGCAGAGAGAAGATCGTGCAGGAGGTGCACACAGGGCTTCTCAATACAGGCATGGGAGCTCGGGAGAAGCCACCTTGCTCTCCTCCTGCCTGTGGCACGACCCTCTGCTCACATCATTGCCGGGACAAGACACAATGTCTCATTGCTGCCGCCAGACCGCTCCTGCTAGGGCTTGGCCCTTCTCCTAAAGTGGGGCTTTAAGAAGAGGTGCTCCTGACAAACAGGAGCCCGCAGCAGAGGATAAAACTTTCTCCAGCCTCCTGCAACCCTAGTTTTGGGGAAGCAAGGGCCACACCATGCCTGGTTTCCATCCATCTGACAGAGTACCCGCTTTTGACCCCTCCACATTTCCAGTTGTAAACACCTGAGATATTTCTCCTGCTCTCTTTTTCTATAGCTCTGTTGAACTTTTTTTTACAGAAGAAATAAAGCTTATTTTTTAGTTTTATAAAAGAAACCCTGCACTGTGTTCTAAAGCTGTTGGTGCTGTGGTCTCTGCAGCAGTGTTGCTGGAGCTCATGGCCTCTCTGGCAGTGGCACAGTCCATAGCCACACCTTGTCCACTGGGCCCTGCCAGCTGCTTGGTCCCCAGCACAGTCCCCAGAGCACTGAGGGGACCATTACCAGGTGGGATGTTCTGTGGTCACGAGGAGAAACTATGACCCATGCTGGGACATGCATTGCGAAAAGATCCTGTCCTCTTCCAAGAGGAAGAGAGAGCTTGTGTCGCGGAGGTAGAAGCTTCAGGAGGAAACCTACAGGCAGAACTGGCCCTGTCTGACTTCCCAGCTGTGCTGTAGCGGCTGGCTTACACTGAAGCATTGTTTTGGGTGTTCCTGCTTCAGGAGTTCTCCAGCAGAAGCGGTTGAACCGTTCCTGGTTATTTCTTTGAACAGCCAAGGTGTGTTTGGTGTGCCTGGCTCCTGGTGCTGGTTCCTGCTGCTGTCCCAGCTGCTCTGTCCCACTGCCCACGTTCAGAACAGTGACACCCCCTAACTTGCCTGTGCTTTCCTCCCTGCAGTGTGCAAGTACGTGGCTGTGGAGCTGAAATCCGCTTTTGAGGAGACTGGCAAGACCAAGGAGGTGATTGACACCAAGTACGGCTTCCTGGACGGGAAGGGCTCTGCCGTCAAGTACACCCAGTCGTAAGTGGGAGTGGGACGGGGTCTCCTGCTGCTGTCGCTGCCTGTGGTCTGCAGAGCTGGGGGCTTTGGGAGGCCGTTCCTGGGGGGCCATGCTAAGCCTGAGCCCTCATCTTCATGCAGGGACATACGGTTAATCGAGGTGACAGAGAACATCTGCAAGCGGCTGTTGGATTACAACCTGCACAAGGAGAGGAGTGGCAGTAACAGATTCGCGAAGGTGAGGGTTGTCCTTCAGTTCCCTGCTCCTAAATGTCCCTTGTCCATCCTGCACTGCCAGGGTGACAAACCATGTTCGTTCTTCCCATCCTCTGGATTCCCTGGCAGTGCCCAGCATGAGAGGCCATGCTGCCCCCCAAGTCAGGTATGGGGTGCTGTCCCTGGTGGCGGTGGGCAGGCTTCTGCCCTCGCCTGCATGGACAGAACCAGAGGCTGTCTTCCTGTTGGTTTTGGAACCATGTTTGCAGAGGGGGACTTGTTGCCACTTGAACTCCCTTCTGGTAATGCTGATGCCCCAGGGGCCTGACTTTCTCTGGCTTGAACGTTCCTGCATTGCTGGGCAGGGTTGTATGGCTGATACTGGGAGGGGAGAGCGGGAGCCTGGCAGGAGGAGCACCACCTGACCAGGCAGTGCTGCTCCTTCAGGGCATGTCGGAGACGTTCGAGACCCTGCACAACCTGGTGCACAAGGGCGTCAAGGTGGTGATGGACATCCCCTACGAGCTGTGGAACGAGACCTCCGCTGAGGTGGCTGACCTCAAAAAGCAGGTACCCAGACCAGTGGGATTGGCCCTCAGTAGATTCTGTGACCTGGTGGGCCAGAGTAGAAGGGGAAGAGAGTCTGGGGGTGCACTGCTGGAAGCGGGTTGTTGGCAGGACCTGCTGCCCTGGTCCTGCCGCACCAGGATGTGTCTGGAGCTGGGCTCTCCTCTCTGCCTAGTGTGACGTGCTGGTGGAGGAGTATGAAGATGTGATCGAGGACTGGTACAGGCATCACCAGATGGAGGATCTCTCCCAGTTTCTCTGCGCCAACCATGTGCTAAAAGGAAAGGACACAAGTAAGTCCTGGCTGCTGCGAGGGGCTGTGCAGGAGTGCTAGGAAGGGCAGGGGAGCCTTGTCAGGGCACAGGGAACCCTGCCTCTCCCTCAGAGCCCACTCTGCCCCTCTTTTCCTCAGGCTGCCTGGCAGAGAAGTGGACTGGCAAGAAGGGTGACTTGGCAAGCGTGGGGGAGAAGCAGAGCAAAAAAAAGAGTGGGAAGAAGAAGAAAAAGGACCAGAAGGATGAGAGCGCGGGAGCTGCCAGCCTCCTGGACACAGGGGAGGCCTTGGAGGAGGGGGTCCAAGAGAAGGCTCCGCTCACCCACAGCCCGGCTGATGAGTTGTAGACACACAGCCCCAGCCGCCGGGGCTGCCCGCTCCGGGGTTTCAACCTGCTGTGCCTGTGGGTACCAAAGGAAAAGGGACTTGTAACCCGGGGGAGACCAGAGCGCCCGGCTCTGCCTTGTCGGCCTGGGTGCCATGCTGCGATTAGGTGTCACGGAGCCGCGGACTCAGCCCTGTTGTGCCTCCCTGCCGGGGGCTTCAGCTCCGGGAGGCCGCGAGTGCTGCCCCGGCGCCGTCTCTTCGCACCCAGCCGAGACTGTAAATAAAGACGTTTTCCCCGGAGCCGCCGCTGCCGGCCCTGCTTGGCCCGCGGTGCCGGGGCAGGCGCAGCTCCTGCCGCGGGCGGGAGCGGCGGGGCCCGCGGGGGGGCGGGCCCTGACCCCGCGGGGCGAAGGTCGAGGCCGTGGGGGGCGCGAGGCGAGCGGTGATTGGCAGGGCCGGGGGCGGGGATTGGCGGGCGCGGCGCGGATTGGCGGGGCTGCGGTGGAGGGGCGTGGCTCCGGGAGAGGCGCGGTCGGAGCGGCGATTGGCGGGCGGGCGGGGGCGGACACGCCGGCGATTGGCGGGCGGGCCGGGGCGGGGTCTCGCGGGGCCGCGAGGGCCGTGTCGGCGTCCGGGTCGGTGTCGGTGCCGGGGTCGGTGTGGGCTCGGCGGGATGGTGGACAGCGTGTACCGGACGCGGTCGCTGGGGGTGGCGGCGGAGGGGCTGCCGGACCAGTACGCGGACGGGCAGGCGGCCCGCGTGTGGCAGCTGTACATCGGGGACACGCGGAGCCGCACGGCCGAGTACCGCAGCTGGCTCCTGGCGCTGCTCCGCCAGCACCGCTGCCGCTCCGTCCTCGACGTGGCCTGCGGCACTGGGTGAGGCACCGAGCCCCGCGCACGCCTGCCCTGCTAGGTGTCCCTTCCCGCTGTCCGGGGTTGCCCGGGGGCCTCCCTGCCCTCGGCCATCCCCAGTGTCCCACTCCCTTGAAGCCCCCACTGCCCCCTCAGCTCGGTCCCGCTGACAGCCGTGTCCTCAGGGTGGACTCCATCATGCTGCTCGAGGAGGGCTTCCAGGTGACCAGCGTCGACGCCAGCGACAAGATGCTCAAGTACGCGCTGAAGGAGCGCTGGGAGCGGCGCAAAGAGGAGCCCTTCGACCGATGGGGTGCGGGGGCTGTGGGGACCGGGAGGGGCGTGGGGACACTGACACCCCACCCCAGCGCAGGGGACTCTGCCCTATGCCCCTCTCGTGTACTGTCTCTGGCCCCTCGCAGTGCTCAGGCCCCTCATCTGGGGTTGTCACTGGCTGGATGGCCTTGTTGCAGGGACAGGCAGGGACCTGCTGGTGCCAGCTGCTCGGGAAACCCAAGCCATGGTTCTTGCCTGCCTGGCTGCTAGCCACAGGCTAGATCCAGTACCTGCAGGGACCAGGGAAGGGCTAGGTGGTGCTGGGATGGGGTCTTGCAGGCGGGGAAGGCTGTTGGGTGTCCCTGCCCTCATACATTTCCCTGTGCTGCAGTCATTGAGGAGGCCAACTGGCTCACACTGGAGAAGGACCTGGAGAAGCCTGGGGATGGATTTGATGCAGTCATCTGCCTCGGCAACTCCTTTGCACACCTGCCTGACTTCAAAGGTGAGTTGGAGGCAGGGGAGGGGAGGGGGAGTACCTATGCACGTGTGCACACCGTCTCCTGTAGGCTGAGAATGTGCCCTAACTCCTGCCCTTAGCGGGACAGGGGATTACATGCAGTGGAGCTGCTGTGTCATGGTGCATCTCCAGGGAAGCTGAGAATGTGCCCCAGTTTGTGACATGAGTTGGCCCATTGGGTTACATGGTGGCAGTGGAGGAGGTGTATGCATTTATGTCACAGCTCTGGCAAGGCTGGAGGCACACCCAGACTCGTGCCACAAGTGGGGTGGTGGGTTCCCCATGTGGTGTGCTCTGCCCCTGCATGGCTGAGAATGTGCCTGAGCTGATGCCATGGGTGGGGCTGCGGGTTCTCCAGCCTGAGACTGGGGGGGGGGGGGGGGGGGGGGGGGGGGGGGGGGGGGGGGGGGGGGGGGGGGGGGGGGGGGGGGGGGGGGGGGGGGGGGGGGGGGGGGGGGGAAATAGTAGGGGAAGGGGTATATGTGTGTGTCTACATGGGTAAAAAGGGGCCTTATGGGCTGTGCCATGGGGTACAGCCAGTGCCTGGAGACAGCACCATTTCCTCCCCAGGGGACCAGAGTGACCACAAGCTGGCCCTGAGGAACATTGCCAGCATGGTGCGGCCCGGGGGTGTCCTGGTCATTGACCACCGCAACTACGATCACATCCTGGCCACGGGCTGTGCACCGCCTGGCAAAAACATCTACTACAAGGTGGGTGGCTGGCAGACCCTGCCCCATCCCAATCCCCTCTGCCCCAGCCCCATGGCCCCAGGTGGGGCAGGCAGCAGGGCTGTGCCCAGGCTGGGGGCTACTGAGCCATGCTATGGTCTCCCAGAGTGACTTGACCAAGGACATCACCACTTCAGTGCTGCTGGTAAACAACAAGGCACACATGGTGACCCTGGACTACACGGTGCAGGTCCCCCCCACTGAGGCGGGGGCAGACCCGGAGCTGAGGTGAGAGGGGCTGCAGAGGTGGCTGCCGGCAGGGGAGTGGCTGGCACTGTGCCCCACTGTCCCTGGGCCTCACCAGCATTGCCTCCTTGCAGCAAGTTTCGGCTCTCATACTACCCGCACCGGCTGGAGGCCTTCACAGCTCTGCTGAAAGGTGCCTTTCAGGGGAAGTGCCAGCACAGTGTCCTGGGCGACTTCCAGCCCTACACGCCAGGACAGGCCCATGTGCCCTGCTACTTCATCCACGTCGTGAAGAAGACAGGCTGAGGGGGCCATGGAGGTGGGACTGTGGTGGCTGAGAGCTGCGAGCAGCTCTGGGGATGAGCAGGGGGTGGGGACATTGCTGAAAGATGCCTGGGAGATGCCTCTCTTTAATCAAGAACACTTGTGAGAGCTACTGGAGATCATGGTCCGTGTGTCCCTGTATGGGCAGGGTATGGGGCAAGGGGGACAGCCACAGCCTGTGGGGAAGGAGGTGCTCAGCCTGGGGGAACCATGGGGTGGGTGCAGGTGCAGTTTCACCTCCAAGCCCCTAGCTGCAGGGGCCAGACATGCCTGTGGTATGGGGTTTGGGGGCCCCCTTGAAGTGGAGACAAGGGTGAGCTGTCTCCCAGGTGGTTACACATCCCTGAGGAGCCCACTGCAGCACTGCTCACAGGAGTGTGCTGCAGCAACCTGTTATCTACCCTGCACCTCTCAGGCAGGTGCTGACTCCTTGACACCTCTCAGCCCCATCCTGGGGGTACCCAACCCCCCCACCAGGGTTCTCACATTGGAGCCTCCACCAGTGTTTTTGCTGTGGCTGCAGCTCCCTCCTTTTCACCCCGGGGAAGATGTGGTGCTCAGATCCAGTAGCACAGTGCAGTGTGGTCAGGGACAGCTCTGCCCAAACACGCTAAGCTGCCAGAGCTGGAGCAACCGGGCTCCAGGCACGCACCATCAGCAGCTTCACATGTGGAACGCCAGGAGCTGCTAAGGGGGCCAGTCCTTCGCTGAGGAGCTCAGTGGGGAGCAGGCCCTCACAGCCACACCCCCTTGGCCCGGGGATTCAGCTGCCAGCAGGCTCAGTGCCGACAGCAGCGGGGCACAGCTCGGGGCAAAGCTCGGCCCCAGCAACCCCTCGGGCTGGGGCACACGTGGGTCCCTGGCTGGGCGTGGGGCTGCCCCAGGGCTGCAGAGACTGGACGGTGGCAGCTGCCAGCCAGCTGGGGGCCAGAGCTCAAGGGCCATTTGTTTGGCACCCTTGGTAAAGGCTGGGAAACCAGGCATACAGACACGTTGCTGCCAGCAGCTGCTGTGAGGCTGCACAGGGAGGTGAGACAGAACTTGCAGGGGGGTCTGGGCCAACTGGTGCTCAGCACAAGTTAGTGCAGACAAGGCAGCTCCAGGCTGCTCCAGCCAAGGTTTGAGTATTTCCAAGGCTGAAGCCCTCTGTGACAAGTTTTCCTCTTATCCACTTGGAATTTCATTGCTGCCACTTGCCCCCCTTGCCTCATGTCCTGTCACCCAGCACCTACAGGAAGCACTGGGCTCCCTCTGCAAAGGGAGCTCAGCTTCCAGCAAAGCAAGCCCCATTCCCTCAGGTTCTCCTCATCCACCATGAGCTCCAGCCATTCTAGTGGGATGACAGTGGTCCCAGCCTGGCTTGCAGATGTGCTCCCCACTCTACCTGCAGGACAATGATTTCTCTGCAACACCCAGCCCACCCAGGGGCTTGCAGGGACCTTCCTGAGCCTACAGCCAACATCAACAAGCAACAACTTGAGGTCAGGCAGTGAATACCTAGTGCTGTATTTTATTCAGAGACTACATTAAGTTCAGGCCAGCTGGAGCAGCAGCATCCTGTTGCCTTCCAGCCAGCAGCCCTCACTGGGGAGGGGCTGACACCCCAACAAGCAGCTGCCTCCAGTCCTGCGCTTTGGTGTCAAACTGGACGCAGTTTGAGGCTGGCTCACCTACCAGTGCCCTGTCACCCATGGAGACACTCCCATGTTGCCCACAACCATGGGATACAGCTTCCTCCCCCGGAGGAAGTCATCCATGCTCCCAGCAGCTACCATGTGCTGCGCCAGATGAGAGGGACCTTACAGAACCTGCCACCCTCCTGGCTGAGCAGAGCAGCATTTCCATCAGGCTTTGGCTCAGGAAACTGCACAGCCACTATTTCCACCCAAGCTCGAAAGAAGGGGGCCCAGGAGACATCAGAGAAGAGCATGTGGGTGGCCTTTTTGGGCCTGTTCTCATCAGTCCTCCAGTCCCAGCTTTGCTGAGCATTAGCAGGCTGCAAACTTCTGCTGGATGAGTCTGTACCTGAGCAGCTCCTGCTCAGAGACTGATGGCTGCAACCTCACAGCAGCCTGCAGAAAGTCTTCCATGGTCAGGATCAGAGCAGAGCTCTCAGTATCCAGCCCTGAACAAGAGAAAGAACAGGAAAGGGCTGAGAGGCAAATGAAGGGGCGTCTGGCAAGATCCAACAGCCCCACTCTCCAGCCACCAGAGACTGCAACGAAAACCTGTCTCATTCCTTCCCCCTGAGGCCAGCCACTGGAAGTGAAGATGACCACATCTGTCGAAACTGCCTGCCAGCCAGTAACCCAGAGCCCAGCACTGTAGTTCCAAAGCTGACGAGAGTCTTCTCACACAGCCCAGTGGTAACCCTCCTCTCTGCCCCTTTGCTGGGTTGCTCCAAC